CTTCTTACCCCTCTCTCTCATTCCGGCTAAGCCTCCCCACCTCCTTTGAACCGAAGTCTGAGATCTCAAGACTTCAACAGACTCCTGCTCAGAGACTTTGCCCACTACGCAGGCTCATTCTCCCCATCTCTGGGTTCATGTCCTACCACTCCCCACCCCACACCCGCCCTTCTCTTTCTCTAGCCCCATCTTATTCACTGGTTGGTCTCAGCGGGGCTCACGTCGTCTGCCTGTGGGTCCGTGGCTTTCACCAAGCTCATGCCCCTTCCTCAGGGTCCCAACTCCTCCATCTCCGTTCGCCTCCCCCCCATCTTTCTTCCTTTCCCCCCGGATATCAGCGGGGCTCACATCTCCGGATTCAGCTCTCCCTCTCCTCACCACCCTCAAGCCCCAGGCTTAGGGCCCCAGTTCTTCCTTCCAGGTGCCAGCCTCCTATGCGCCCCCCACAGCCGTTTCTATCTTCCCGCCCATCCTGGGGACTTGCCAGCCCGCACCAGTCCCGCCTCCTCTAAGCCCATCTCTCACCCGGGCTCAGGGCCTCCAGTCGCAGTCGATGGGCTTGCAGGAGGAACAATCCCGTTGCCCGCAGGGCCGCACTTGCACCAGGTTCTCGCGGTCCATGAACACCGGGGCCGGCGCTGCGCCCAGCACCTCTCGGCTGCGCTCCTGCTTGCCCAGGTCGCAAAGACAGAGCCACTTTCCCCACGGGCCAAGGATCGAGTCCTCCACGTCTAGGGATGGAGGGCCAGGTGGTGGGGGGGAACCTACCTGCCAAGCTCTCCTCTAAGAGGGCAGGAGGATAAAGACACTAATAGCAACAGCTCATGTTTGCAGGGCTGTGCCTCTGTACCAGGCACCCTGCCATCGATAATCTAATTTAATCTTCTCATTAGTTCCCGGTGGGGAAACTGAGGCCTAGAAAGAGCAAGCCACCATTCCGAGGTCAGCATCTGGTGAGTGGCCCAGAGGAACTGCAAACTGACACTTCCCACCTATGCCAGCCTACCAAGTTGGGACTGTGGTACAACACCCTTGGTGCCCACCATCCGAAGCTGACTCTTGTCTTCAGAGATCATGAGCTTGTCCAGTGGCCACAGTGCCACCTGACCAGCAGTTCTGTCAAGTGGTAAATTAAATGACATAATTGACACTATAAAGGTACTTAAAGCCTCTGACGCTGTTAGTAGAACAAAAAACGAGCATGATCACTTTTAAAAGAAGCTACAACTTACTGAGCGCTTAACCACTCCCCTTTACAGGGTTCTTTTACCGACTTCTCCCTAAACCCCTACGAGACAGGTCCCAGCTCACTAAGCCTCCATTACACAAAACTCCCTGGCACACTCTTCCCCTAAAATCTTTGAATTTTTGGCATTTCTTGTCATGCCAGCTGTTGGTTACCTACCTTCTTCAGCCTGGCCTTCTCTGACTTCAGAAGCTGACCTACCCCCTTCTTTAAGCAGCTTACATGGTAGAGAGGATGTGAGCAGGACCCAAGCAAACAAATCCATAAACTCGTGGATAGGTGGTAGGAAGGGTGGAGATAGAGAAACCATGTAAGCTGCTTAAAGGCAGCTTCTCTGTTTCATTTTACAGATGAGAAAACTGAGCATCAGAGAAAAGTGACTATCCCAGTGCGAAGCTGGGAGGAGACTTGAAGTCCACGGAAGAGGGTCTGTTTGTAGCCAGCTGGCCAAACGGAGCAATGGGGCACCTTTCCGCGCCGTCACACCCGCGAAATGCAGTTACCTTTCCCCTGATGTTGCAGCTGCAGCTGCTCCCAGGTGTCGCCTTCGCCCCGGTCGCCGAAGTAATGGTAGTCGGGGGAGACTTGGGCAGGAGGAGTCGCCAGCAGCAGGAGCATCAGAGGCGGCAGTAGCAGCGCCTCTGGGCTTCGGGCCATGCCGGACTCCAACTGCCCCCGGCGCGCTCCGGGGCCGAACCCGGAGCGGGGTCCCAGTGGGCGGGCGCAGTGGGCGCTACCTGCGGCTGCACGTCTCCCGCAGCCCCCTCAGGCGCGTGGGCCCGGCAGGCTCCTCTCCTCCACCCCTGCAGTGGCAGTGGATCCGACCGCTCCGCCTGTCTACCCACCTCCCCCCACCCCCCGCCCTGCACGTCATGGTTCGGGCCGCACATAAAAGGCTCCGCGGCTCTACGCTTACTTGGTGCTGAGAAGCTGAGTCTGCGGGTCCCCAGGTCTGTGTGTCCCGCCCTTCCCCACGCAGGTAGGGACACCTGGAACGCACCCGGCTGGGGGGAGCCCTTAGGAGCCGCTTCGGCCCTCCCAAACTTCAGCGCTGGCCGCCTTTGTTTTCCACCCGCCGTGGTGGCCGCCTTTGTCCTTGGTGGGGGGAACTGAGGCTACAGCCTTGGAGTGCAGGCCGCATAGCCAGGATCCCCGCTCCCTGCTCGCGGGGGCTCCTTCAGGGGCGATGGGCCAGCGCCACCGCGCTCGGCGACAAGCTAATGGGGGGCCCCGCGGCAGCGGCCTGGCGGCTCTCGCTGGCCAGAGGGGCGGGTCTCCCGCGGTCTCAAGGCCGCACAGAGCCGGTACCGGGGAGGATGCGGGGCAGTGCCGCTGCCTCCGCCAATCTGACTCAGTCACCGGGCCCAGCACGCAACATGACCTTGGGAAGTGAGGACAAAAGGTTTTCCCGGGCGCTCTGACCGGGCCGGGGTTGCGGGGGGTCTCAGCTTTCAGTCATGGCGGCCGGTAACGCGCACATCGGAAAGCCAGCCCCGGACTTCCAGGCCACCGCCGTGGTGGAGGGCGCCTTCAAGGAGGTGAAGCTTTCCGACTACAGAGGTGAGGGCGGCCTGGAGCGGGTCCAGGTTGGGTGGCGCCCAGGCACTCGAGGCGCTGGGCCCTCACTCCTGTATTCCTGCCCTCTTCCTCAGGGAAATACGTGGTCCTCTTTTTCTACCCGTTGGACTTCACTTTTGTGTGCCCAACAGAGATCATCGCTTTCAGCGAACATGCCGAGGACTTCCGAAAGCTGGGCTGCGAGGTGCTGGGGGTCTCTGTGGACTCGCAGTTCACCCACCTGGCTTGGTATTAGCGGGGACCAGCAGGGAGGGAGGGTGCAGCGAAGCCTACCCCTGTACAGGGTCCGACCTGTGTGCTCTAGTGGCCATTGCTCAACTTCTGAGCCTCCCTTTCCAGTCTTGAAAATAATGGAAAAATGACGCCCAGGTCCTGAGCGATGATGACAGTAATTAGCATTTGGAAACTAGTTGCTTGGTACGGAGTTGCAAATGCTTTTTATCTCACTTAGAGCAAAGCAGCCTCCCTCCCAAGAACTATTTCAAGAAGGTGGCTACTCCAGTTCAAGGGAGTGAAGAGCTGGGCCCCAGGACACAGCTAGAGAAGAGGATGGGGACTCTGCCCCAAGGTGCCTGAGGCTGCCAGCACATGTGAATCCACTTTACTGGAACAGGCGCATTAGCTTAGTCTTCCCAGCTGTGGGAAACAGCCCCTGCACCTACTTCAGGGTGGGGTGGGTGGGACTCCCAGGGCCTTGCTCTAAAACCCCTTATCTCTTGTCTCCAGCACCCCCTCTCCAGCTCTTATCACACACAGGCCCACAGGGTGAGGACCCTGCTGTGCCAGGCATCCCATCCTGAGGTCCCAGCCCTGTTTCCTCCACCCCCAGGATTAACACCCCCCGGAAAGAAGGAGGCTTGGGCCCTCTGAACATCCCCCTCCTGGCTGATATAACCAGAAGCTTGTCCCACGATTATGGCGTGTTGAAGGAAGATGAGGGCATTGCCTACAGGTACCAGGGGGTCCTCAGGGGACACCTTCCATCCTCAGGGTGAGGGGACCACACTTGGGCGATGCCCTCCCTACCTCCAGCCCTGTGGCTGGCAGGGAGATGGTTCTCCCAGCTCCTCACTGTGAACCCTGATATCTTTAGGGGCCTCTTTATCATCGATGGCAAGGGTATCCTTCGCCAGATCACCATCAATGATTTGCCTGTGGGGCGCTCCGTGGATGAGGCTCTGAGGCTGGTCCAGGCCTTCCAGTACACAGATGAACATGGGGAAGGTGAGTGGGCACACTGCTCCTCTTTCTGTCACTCATGCGGACATTCACTGCCTGCTCTATCACCTGGGTGACAATGGATGTGAGGACCCCAAAGAAGATTCAGCTTAAGGCCTTGTCTGCAGGAAGTGTCTCGTCTGGTGGAGGAGATAACCCCAATATGAGGGTGGAGAGCTGGGAGGTAATAAAGATCTATAGAGAAGATCTTTGAGAAGGTTTGTGCTAAGGCAGGCTTGAATAATATTAGTTGGATCAGAGTGCTTTCTCGGGTGGAGGGCACAGCCTGATCAGTCTCTCAAAGTCCAGTATGGCTAGCGCAGAGGGAGAAAGATGGGGCTAAAGGGGCCAAAGAGAAATGAAAATATCAGCCACAAAATCCTGCACCTGGGCTTGGGGGCTTCCGTCAATATACAGTATGGTGTTGGGTCTGGACCACTTGGCTCTGGACTTTTTCTTCTGCAACTTGGACTCTTGCTTTGCCTCTCACTACTGCCCTACCTTGAATATGGGGCTGTAGCATCACCTGTGATTTCTTGTGTCTTCCCACAGTCTGTCCCGCTGGCTGGAAGCCAGGCAGTGACACAATCAAACCCAACGTATGTGACAGCAAGGAATACTTCTCCAAACACAACTAGGCTGGCAGACGGGTGCCAAGCTTGGGCTCTTGGTCTCCACTTGTGCCCCTACCTGGGTGCCCTGTGCTGGCCCTGGAAAGGCCAAACCTGCCCCTTCATGTTCCAGTCAGTGATCCTGGAAGGCTAGGCCATGGCCGTCTCATATTCCTAGCCAAGTGGTGAATGGTGAACCCCTCCCTGTAGCCCACCTAGCAGGGCATAGGCCTAGAGGTGACCAATAAAGTGTTAGGGACAAAAATGTGAGTCTGTTGGTGTGTTCTGTCCTGATGTCTCTCTCCTCCCTCCTTTCCTCCAGGCTCTGGCCTGGGAAACTGACACTGTAGTTACGTATCTTCACCACAAGGTGACAGTCTTACCTCATGCTCACCAGTTAACTCATGGTCACTGCTCACTCCTTGGCAAGAGAGCAGTTTTTTTTGGAGGGGGAGCTTTTTCCCCTTGCTGGGAGCAAGTTCCAGGATACCCCACAGGCAGTGCCCACTCCTTGCTATCAGCCAGGCTGGGTTCAAGTACCATTTAAGAGCTGTGATCCTCCCTGGCTTTCATCATCAGGAAAATGGGAATAAAAACAACCAACCCAGATTACCATGCACATTGAGATAAAGTGTGTGAAGCTCAGGGCCCAGTGAATGGTTACTACGATGGGCTTCTGGGCCTGGAAGAAGAGTTCAGTCTTATGGGAAAGAGGGTGGAGACCCAGCTGTGAGAGCAGAACCAAGAGTGGGGGGAGCTTGAGCTACATGCACAGTAGGCAAACTGCCCCACCGCAGGTTGGAAAGGTGATGGTTAGCCTGGGAAGCAGGGGTCAGGAGCAAGGTAATATTTCCAGGAGTGCAGTTTGATGCTGTGTGTGTCCAGGCAAGTGTCTTTGCCCCTCTGAGACCTCAGTTCCTTTCACAAAATAGGACAGACATGTTCATTTAATCCATAGAGTCATTATTAATATTGCTATCCAGTCTAATACCCTCCAAGGTCACTCATCTCAGCTTTGGAATTTTATCTACACTCATCCCCAAGGCCCTGTGTGGTCTTCCCTGACCTCATTTCCAGCTTCCTGGTTTACTCCATTCCAGGCACATTAGCTTCTTACTGTTCTTTAACAGGCTGATCTTGTTCTGGCCACAGGAACTTTGCATGCGCTATTCTCTGCCCAGACGGTGTTACCCAGGATTTTCTCAGAACCCGGCTTCTTTAAATCTGGTCTCATTAAAGGTCCACTTTCCCAACACATTCTCCAAAGCAGCTCATCTCCCCTGCCTCATCACTACCACTTTGACCTGTGTTTTCTCTTCCTAGAACTTACACCATCTCCGAATTATGTTTCCTTGTTTATTATCTGTCTGTCTGCTGTGATCCAGGCTGTGTGACCAGGGCCGTGTTCAGTTTATAAATGAATGAATGAAGTGTCCGTTCTGCCCACCCTGCCCGTTTGGTCTGGTTTCTCGGCCTGTGTTTTTCTCGGCTGTTATGGGGGCTTCCAGCTCCGAGGCCAGCCTGACCCCCTTGGGGAGCACCAACTGCCCTCCTACCCATCCCAGCTGCGGGGAAGGGAGCCCCGAGCGAGGGCGGCGGCTGCGCTGGGCGGCCTGAGCAGCCGTCCCGGCAGGACCAGACCTGGCAGTCGCCCCGCGCCCGGCCTGGCACCGTGAGGGAAACTGGCAGACGGGCACCGCCCTTCCTGGCGGTGGTGAGGGGGACCGCGGCAGCAAGGACACGCGGACTGCAGCAACCCCCCGCCCGGGTCAGGTCAGACAGCGTGGGTGCGGCGGGGCCTGGGCGCCAGCCAAAGGAGAGAGGCTCTGGGATGGCTCCCGGGGTCCAAGAGCGCGGCCCGCCCACCGTGGACACTCTGGACTCAGGCCTGGGGCTTTCCGGGCCCCAGCAGCCACCCGCCTGGGAAAATCCCGGCCTCCTTCCGGGCGCCGCGGCCTTGCCGGGCAGAGCGGGGGAGGGGATTCCCGGAATCTGCCCGGAGACCGCCGTCGCGTCATTGGGCAGAATCGGCCCATATATGGGCAGCGTTTCCGCTGCGTCAGCGGGGAAAGCCCCGGCGCGCGCCAGCGGACAGGGCTGCGCCTGCGCACTGCGCGTCTCGCCCGCGGCATCCTGCCCCCAAGTCCTGCGAGGCAGGGCCCGGTCCCCGCCCTGGGCTTTCCAGCCCCCGGGATCAGGGTACGCGAGGGTTGGACACCCGGGCTGGGGCTGTGAAATGTCTGGGCAGGGCTGGCGAGGGGACACAAATACCGGAGTGAGCCACAAACAGCAGCGGGGTGTGGGCAGCCCAGCACTCTCCTCCCTCCGCCCGCCCGCCCGGCTTCGAAAAAAAGACAACAGAAATTAATAAAGAACCATTTTTTTTTACTTAAATAGATTCAATAAAAAGTCAGAACAACAAACGCACACACACACACAAACACAGTTTAAAATAAACTCTTTAGAGATCAAGTGCGTGTTTCATCTCCACAGTACGGTGCAGAGGGGGGAGGAAGGGGGCCGGGCCCCTCCCCAGAGTCCCCGCGGGCTTGAGTACCGGGCGGCGGGGCCAGCTCCGCCGCAATCGCCCCCTCCTCCCCTCCCTGTTAAATACACAAATATATTATATTCAATATGAATCGAGTCTGTTTCCAGCAGAAAAAAAAAACATACAAAAAAACGTGGAAGGGGGGCTTGTAAACGTCGAGTTGGAAGGACTGGGCGCAGAGCGGGCGGGCAGGAGTCCAGTGTGGTTTTCGCCGCCCCCATGCCCCGGGGCAAGTGCCCACCGTCTGCCCCCTCGCCCCTTGGGAGGCGTGCGCCCAGCCGTCCAGGCTGGGGGGAATGTCCGTACGGGGATGGGGTGCTCAGAAGGCGTGTCCCTTGACCCCGAGCAGCAGCTGGCAGCCGTTGCTGACGTGAGTCATGACCTTCTGTTTGAGCTGGGCCACCTGCTCCCGGAGGAGGCCGGCAGTGCTCGAGAGCCCTGCGTTCTCCGCTTTGAGTGTCTTCACCTTGTCCTCTAGGCGCGCGATGCGCTCCAGCTTCCGCTTCCGGCACTTGGTGGCCGCCAGCCGGTTCCGCAGCCGCTTGCGCTCCACTTTGATGCGCTCCTGGTCTTCCATGTTGATGGGGGACACTGGCGGCGTGGCGTCGCGGCTGCGCGCCTCAGGCACGGTCTGAGGTTCCTCTTTGAAGGTGGAGGCGCCCCGGCCAAGGCCCAGCTGCGCCGGGTGACCGCCAGCGAAAGGCGGCGCGTGTGGGAGGTAGCTGATGGTGGCCGTCGGGTACGAGCTCCCGGTCCCGACGGCGGCCCCGGCGCCTCCGGAGGGCGCAGAGGCTGGGGAATAGCTGCTGAGGTTGGTGTAGACGGGAGGAGGCTCCGGGCCAGCGTAGACACCCCCGGGCCCCGCCGGGGGGCCCCCGCTGGCGCCCAGGGACACATTGGGGGGCGTCACGTGGTTCATCTTGTGCAGGTCGTCCAGGGCTTTAACAAAGCCGTCGGCGAAGCCCTCCTGTTCCTCGGTGACGCCGCCCCCTGCTCCTCCCGCACCTCCACTGCTGCCACCCCCTCGGGGGTAAAAGTACTGTCCCGGGGGCGTGGGCGTCGTCGTGATCACGCCGTTGCTGTTAGGGACGATCAGGCGCTCTAGCTCCGATGAGGCGAGCTTGAGCGACGCGCCTGTGTCCGAGCCCTGGCCGGAAAAGTAGCTGCCACCGCCGCTGCCCTCTGGGCCGGGGCCCCGTGTCCCGGGCGCTTTCAGACCTCGGTAGGGGTCGGCAAGGTTGAGTGCCAGGCTGGGTTTCAGGAGTTTGTAGTCGTGTAGAGAGAGGCCGCCCGGGGCCCGGCCGTATCCCGCCGCTGCGTATGAGTCGTCGTGGTAGAAGGGCTGTTCCATTTTAGTGCACATCCGGGCGGCCCGGGCGGTCTGGGGAGGTCCCTGCGGGGCCGCCCCGGGCCTCGCTGCTGCGAGCGGTGCTCTGTCCGCGGAGGTGGCTGGATTGAGTGTCTGGACGCGCAGTCCTGGGTACTGGCACCCGCCGGGAGAGGCCAGCCGGCCGCCTTGCGCGGAAGCTCTGTGCGGGTTCTCGAGCCTCTATACCCCTCTCTGGCGCGCTCGCTTTCTCCGTGTCGCTTCCCCCTGCTCCCCGTTGCCTGCTGGCTCGGATGCTGGCCTGCCGCGCTCAAGGTACCGGCCGCTCAGCCCGAGCCACACGCCTTTATACCACGGTTACCAGCTGCGGAAGTGCGCTGCGATTGGCCGTCGCGCGAGCCAGGCCCCCGCACCCCCCTCCTCGAGCGTGGGGAAGGGGAGGAGGCGGCTCGCGTCACTGTCAGGAAGCGCGTGTCCTTGTAAACAGCGGCCACGGGCTGGGTGGCTTGGCGATGCTGTAGGGGGAAGGGCTCAGGGGACCCCGGGACGCGCGAGGAAGGGGGTGCTCGGGCGGTCCGAGGAACACGGGGAGGGGTTCCAAGGAAGGCGATGATACCCCTTAAGTACTCAATGAGGGACACGAGGAACTGATACAGAGCATGTGTGTGTGTGTTTGGGGAGGGGGGTATCCCACGTTGTACACAGAAAGGCCTGAGGGACCCGGCATATCCAACAGGAGTTGGAAAGCTGAGAACACACTGGGAGACCCCATAAAAGAGAGACGGAAGGGTTAGCAGGGGGAGGGGTAAGAAGAGGCCTGACACAGGAATTGTGTGAAGGTCCCGAGTACAAGGGTTTGGGGGACTGGAATTTTCATGGGAGGGACTGAACCCAGGAATATTGAGGGGGAGAGATGAAAACGGTACACTGGGAGAGGCTTGAGGACCTATTAGGCAAGAAATGAGTAGAGGTCCTAGAGTCCATGGGAGAGACAGAGGGTCCCCATAAATGGAAAGGGGGGGACTGAAGGAATCTAGACATACAGAAAGTGAGTGAGAGGCCTGGGGTACACTGAGTCAGAGAAAGTATGTGGAGTAGAAGAGGGGGACACTGTCACAGTTGGGGGTCACTGGAGTAATCTGCGAAACCCTGATTAAGTAGAATTAGGGTCGGGGCACACTTTCAGGGCTGAGATGCCAATGACAGAGGGTCCCTGGTTGAGACATGAGGGAAGGAGAAGTCTGAGGATCCTGGGGACTTGGACTGCTGGATCTTCCATGATTGGCGCCCTCTCTTTTGAGTGACCACTAGGCTGAGGTCTTTGTATACTCGGCCATCTCAAAACCTTTCCCCAGTGACCCTGGGCTTGACCGACACCGTCTCAGCTCCTGGTGC